AGTAGAACAGAGAAGATGTTCACAGAAAATATCTTACCCTTAGAGGTCAACAGATTAGCCAATCTAATAGTGACTAAGGAAGGTTTTTAAAGTCAATTATTATCTCAGTGTGTTAGATGAATTAGTTAATTATAGCAACTCCTTAAAAAAGTACAATTATTTTTAAATTTTTATTTCAGGGGTAGGGAAAATAAGTAGAAAAGCAACCAGTTATGGTTCAAGAAAAAAACAGAACTTGCAATTCAAGTCTCCATCTCTTTGAAAAAGAAGGAATGTCAGTAGTATTCGATCACTTGTAGTTAAAAAAAGAACTGGCCATGTAAACAATGCTTTTCAAAATAATAGTTTATGATAATAAAAGCGATTTCCTCAGGTAAGAAAGCAACTTCTGGCTTATGGCAATTCACCTAGGTTGTACTGTGTTCAGAGTAAAACCTTGTATTTATTTTGTATTGTTTTGCATGGTCTTACGGCTCTCCTCCGTCTTCTCCATTTGAATAGTTCCCATTTTACAAGTGTTGAGGGCTTATACGTGTTAATTAAATCTTCTGCAATGTTTGGTTTCACTATCAGAATTTTAGTGAACACAGTTATCTTCATAATAATCTCAACATTCTAACTTAAGAATCAGTCTACCTTTCTGTTAACCTTATATAGGAGGATGCAACACCTGTAGGAATGCTTTATAGGTCATATCCAGATGCATACTTTCTTGCATCTACATACATTCTAAAGTTCCTTTTAGAATGTTTAAGAAGACAGTTTTCCGGGCTTTTTAACAAGTAGGCGAAAAATATTTTTTATTGGGCTCCTGAGAAATGGCTGTTCCTGCAGGTACATTAACAGGCTATCACAAATAACCTAACTACAAAATTCTGAAACGTTTGTTCAGGAGTTCCCTCCTACATTTATCGAATTTTGTTTCTACCAAAGGAACGCTCCGCAGCCGCAACGTTTTTATCGTTGTTATGGACGCACCACATAAAATTTACGTTCAGACGTCAAAGTCCTATTAAAATAGCCTCGATGATCACTTGGTGATTGCAAAGTTTGAAACTCTTGTATTCCGCTCCCCACAACCACTACGCCCCTCAATCTACAAAACCTAGTTACCCAGGTTCGGGGTCTTTGACTCATCAGAGAAGAATGCGGCTGATGAGTTATCTATTAATCCAAAATGCCTCAGTTGGGAAGATTTCACCAAGAACTTTTCACGCTGAAAGGGAGGGGGCAGGGAACCAAAGGTGTCTTTTAACGAGAACTTTCCCCGAGTTTCTTCCTTAAACTACACAAACACACCCCACAACTTCCAGCTCTAGATGCAGAACTAAGCGCTGACCCTCCCGGTCCCACTAATCTGAGGTCACCCGGGAGTCACCTCTCGATTCCGCTTTTAAAATCAGGGGCAAACAAAGCTAAGCATTATACTTACAAATACTTTCTCAGGAAAGTCTTCAAAGTTACGCAATTTTAGGCACACAGGGGATAGG